TGCTGGGAACGCAGCTCCCAGTGCTGGGAACGCAGCTCCCAGTGCTGTAGCACTGTCTACACTGCCACGTTACAGCGCTGAAACTTGCAGCGCTCACGGTTGTGTTTTTTCACACCCCTGAGTGAGAAAGTTGCAGCGCTGTAAAGAGCCAGTGTAGACAAGCCCTAAGGCTCAAGAATAAATCCTTCGGAAAAGTAGTCTTGGTCAGAGTGCTTGCCCACTCCACCATATAAAGTATGTCTACACTGCAGTCAGAGGCCACACTGCAGCGCATACAGACATACCCAAATTAACTTTGATCTAGTTAGCTTGAATAACAATAGCAGTGAAGCCATGGCAGCATGGGCTAGCCACTTGAGTAAATAGACAGGGTTCTGGATGGGCTTGTATAGCCTGGTGCTGTCATGGTTTCACTGCTATTGTTATTGGAGCTAGTTAGATCAAAGCTAGCCCGGCTATGTCTACATGTACTGTAGTCAGAGTTCTGATTGCAGCATAGGTTTAGCCATAATTAGCCACTATTGATCTCTGCAGAATAATAATCTCACACTTATTCCATTTTCAAGCTATTTCTATATATTCACCAAGAGGTACAGTTATGCAAGATTATTTGGCTTTGAATTTTCAGTGACAGTTGATAAAAATCTTGTGTTACATAGTGATTAGACTATGATATTTGCATTGATAAATGGCACGGTTTAATTGGAATAGAACAGGTTTACAGACAGAGTTGTACAGAGCAAATGATAAAAACTGGATCAAAGTGTCTTCCTATCCTTTTTGGTCATCAGTGTACCTAATTTCCTTATGCTTGGATTTAATAATAGAAGCATAGTACTTGCTGATTTGTAGGCTTGTGTTTTATGCAGAGCTTTGGAAAATTCAGCCGTTTGTGTGAACATTTTCTTCAGTTTAAATTTGTGTGGCATCTTCTGAGTTCTAAGTTCAAAACACCTCATAGCAGAATTAGTTTGAAACTGAGTTTCACTTAGCTTTGTGTTGACGCTATGCAAAAAAATGCAATAAATCAGACCAGATTTGCTGGGATTAAGTTCCCATCAAATGAAACTCAAAATAGGCTTCTAAGGGGCAGAAGGACTAATGCCTGACTTTTCCATTGGCTTTCATCTTGTATAGTCATTCATATTTGACAATATTTTAAACAGATTTTATACTCACTTTTCACCGATGTAAATTACTACACAAGGTGGTAGGCAGTGGAGACTCAGGTCCACTGGCTGTATGGATCCCTGAAGATAACTGGTTGCATCTCTTCATATAAACACCCAGGATTTTGTTTTGTGTGTGTGCTGAACATGGGATAATACAATATCTAGATTTTCAGCAATTTCATTTCACTGTTTCTGTGCATACATTATAAAGCAGTGACACTATGGCTGGAGAACATCCATTTCTTAAGACATTTAAAGCAGATTGGATGAAGCAATGGAGACTATACTGCAGGGGAAAATCCTGTACTGACAGAGGGATGGACTAGATTGGACCTAATACAGCAGTTTCCTCTCTGACTTCTACAGCTTTTGCACCTTGAATCCATAACCTGGACTACATTTCTGGAACTTTAATGTCACTTTGTTACAGTTGGCCTGAAGGTCTTGTATACTGCATGGATCTGTAGAATTTTCAAGGGAGGTTGATGATCTAGTTCCATGCAGTGAGAGTTCAAGAATATGCACACAGAAATCTGCCTGTAGAAATGTGTGGTTACCTTTTGATTTATCTCCCTCAGAACCTGTGCTCCTTTTACAACAAATAACTGTCTGTCCTATGGTCTCATTTGGAAGCAACATTGCAGTGTGAAGGTCCCAAATTAATTGAACTGCTAAACCATGGTATGATCCAATTTATGGGGGACAAAATGAGGAACACAAGAAAATTAGTGGCATGGGATGCTTAAAATGGGGCAGAGTTGAACTTTGTTATTGCTAACCCAAATTCCTTTTGCTTCGAAGATGCTGATGAAGGGAGCTCTTGATTGCTGGCAACAAGCAAGAGTTTAGGCTCCTTTTGTCAGCTAGGCTAAATTATAGCGCAAGGAATGGATGCTGAAATCCAGATTCTGTCCTTTGATTCATACATCCACTTGCCATTGAAGTTGCTGGGATTTGTGTATGTGTCCGTAAGGGCAGAATTTGGCCCTCCAGCTCAATGGACAGGGCATATATACTTTTAGTTGGTTCCAGTGTTAGATGCTTTTCTGAATAATCATTGTCTTGAATTTAAGTACAATCTGTCTAGATACAATCTTCAGTGTAGCAGATGTCAGTTGCTGTGTGAACTCCAACTACAATTAATCTAAGGAAGACAGAGGGAGAATTTGCAACGTTGGTGAGACTTTTATTGCTTCTGCAAGTAGGTTTTTCCATTATTCCCTTTGTTTCTAATGACCATAGTCTACTGCTGAAGTTAAAATATGATTCCAGGTAGTTCATAGAGGGAGTCAACACCAAGTTGTGTTCCGAGGGGTTAGTTCCGTAAGGAGTGCCCCTAAAACAGGCTAATGTCACTTTCATTGCAATCTGTAATTGTTTGACTCTATATTGTATAAAATGCTGATGTTCTTGCTTCTCTGAACAATAAGAAGTGAGGAGAAAAATCATGCAGACTTATGGATAAAGCAAAAAACTGTGCTTGGATAAAACAGAAAATTGTGCTTTCTCCTGCAGCTTGCAGTTTTTCAGAACTAAGTCTCATGAATGGCAATGATCTTGGCCGCTTTGCTCCGAGGTGCTTGATATGAAGCTCCTCTCTGGGGAATGAAGGGGAATATTTCAGCATTACTAAATTTAGCAACCCTGCTCCTAAAATCTGACCTGTGTAATGGTCCTCTTGTTTTTTCAGACCAATAATTTAGTGTAACCTCTTCTGGCTTCAATTTGCAGTAGACTGTAGTGGGGGATGGTGGCTCTTGTGGTTGGAAATGGTATATAGAGCCTTTTGCCTCTAGCCTGTCTGTTCTAATGTATACCAGAGTGGCCAAAAGTTACTGTCTGGCTGTTCAGTAGCCTATGTGAAATGAGTCAATTCCCAACCCTCTTTGTGCAATCATGCTTTTCGCCAAGCAACTTCACTCCAACTAGAGCCAAGTGAATGATTTGTAATGAATAAAGTACTCATATTTTGCCACTTTCTGTTCAGAAATTTTCACAGATGGCATTTTTCATTTGTTGTTTAGAATTATTTGCCAAATTTCTACAATAAATTTTTAGTCTATAGCTTGTTCCCAAGCAGTTCACTGCAAATATTTAATATTTTAGGTTTTCTGATTGGACACACATGTCACATGGTATTTTTTCTGTTCTCTGACTGGATGAGAGTAAATCTTAAAATCAGATCCGTAATGTGAATGCTCAGAGTTATAAATCTGAAATTTGCTCTGCAAAAATTTACAGCATATGCTCAAAACTTGTATGTGCAAACAATCCTGCTAATAAACTAATTTTCTAGGATAATTTGCAGAAAACAAACGTACCAGGAGCATGAAGCAAATTAAACATTATTGAACAAATATTTGGTGACCGCTTTACTTTGCGATATTCACCCTACTCTAAATACTGTAGAGACTCATTTTAATTGGAATTGCAACTGGCATATTGTTATGCTTTGAAACAATTTGGGCCATTCATTTTACTTCACTATATCCAAGTCTGGTATGAATGGCTCCCTCTGTATTCAGGATAAAACCCATAGCATTCTGTTCCATTAGAACATAAAAACGGCCATACTGGGTCAGACCAACGGTCCATCTAGCCCAATATCCTGTCTTCCGACAGTGGCCATTGATACACAAGATATATGACTGGTCTATGACTGAACCATTCAATGATGTGAAATTTTTATGCTACTGTTCCATTGAAAACTAAACTGTGCCCAGTCCTTGCTGATGTTCTTTGCTTTGAGTCTGTCAGCTTTTAGTTGCTGCTTAATATACATTTAAAAAAAATGAAAAATCAAAGCATTTCTAAGATCTGTGAAATGGAGTTTCACATTGTACTCACTGAAATATTCCCTATTTAATGCAATGCAGTTATTAGTCCTTTCTTCTACATAGTTTCTTTGACAGTATAGGGTTTTTCCTCCAAAGATCTCAAATCACTTTACAAACACTAAATCTCACAGTATCGTTGGGAGGTGAGTATTACAACTATGTCATTGAGAAATAAATGGCCGCTCATTGAGGTTAAGTAACTTGGCCCAGGTCACACAGTGAGTAGGTTCCTGAGGTGGCATTAAAACAATGCTGTCCTGAATCCTCGAGGCCCTTTTTCTAAGCATTGCATACCCACCTCTTTTTATTGTTCATTTAACAAAGCAGGAAAAAAAAGATTAAATAATTTCATCTTGAAAAGACACCCTCATAACACACTTTCAGAACTATGGTGCCATTCACTTTTATTGAGGGAGATCTGTATTGTTAAATGAAATAATTGTTACTGAACTATATTTAAAAAAACGTGTGGTTCCCTTTTGGTGACCTACCGTGACAGATTCTTCCGATGATACAGAATTTGGGTTTTCTGTGCGTTCTTCTCCTTGTCTTTTACATTTCTGAATACAGTTGCTTTGCTGGCTCCAACCAGGGCATGGACACTCAGAAAAGAAGGAGAAGCCATTAGAAGGTTGGTAGGAAGGTACTACCAGCCCAAAATACCAAGAATTTGAAGCTAGTAAAATGATGGTTATTCATTTCTAGGGAGACTAACCTGAATTTTGACTGAAGTATGCACTTCAGAGTGTGAGAGGAAGAAAGAATGTGGCTTTTAAAAAAAAATTCACATTGACCATCTCAGCTTCCAGTGTGTTTTACCCCAAACACCTCCAGCATGGCACATGTCCTCTTGGGAGGTCTTTGAATAATGAAATCTAGGGCCTACAAAACTACAGAGAGTCCACAGTAACCTGTGTTTTGTTGAAAGTCTTTTCTCTTCTCCCCTCTTCTGCCTTTAGAAAATGCTTGACTACTCCTGAAGTCAAGAGGGTTGCTTTTGATCGGTGTCACTTTAGAAGACTGCAAGACTGTTTCCTCCCCATTTTGATCTAAATGCAACCCCCCCCCAGTACTGTTCGTGTGTGTGCTGGCTTGGAGAGCAAGTGATTGGGACCAAAAGTCAAACCTAAGTTTCCCACGATCCAAAATAAAGCCTTGAAAGACAGGGTATCTATGATTCCATCTGATATAAAATCCCAAGGTTGCAGGTGTGCACTGGGATTGTATACCCTAGTAGCAACAGGCAAAACATGTCATTGTAGGTATTCATACTAAGTGTGAGGAATTGCTCGTTTTGGCAGAGTTTGAATTATGGCATTTTAGGTCATAAGACCTCCCACTAGAGAAGTGGTTACCCCAGTGCATCACAAAGATTAGCAAATCTTTTAAAGGCATGATCTCACAGAATTTACCTTTGTATCACTGTCCTTGGGGTTTCTTAAACTCAGAACCCTTCATGTTTTAATATAATAATGGAACGAACATAAATCATATTTAGCTATTGATAAAATATCCTTTGCAAATTGTCATAAGGAGCTATTGTGCTCAGCAAACTTACTGGGAAGGGAACTTCAAATATAACAAACACAATGAAGGCTAGTGCACAGGGTAGCAGGACACAGATGATTACTGCTTTGACGTAGATGCTTTGTCTTTGTGTTAGTCTGAGCAGCATGCCTTCACCTATACCTGTGATTAGAAAGGGAAAAAAATCATTCTCTCTGAAGTAGATGAATACAGAAGACAGCATGTTCCCCATTGGTAGTTTGAAGATTTCTTTATCTTTAGGATGGTAACGCAGTACAGTTAAACCTGAGAGAACATTTCATTAACACTTAAGGATGTCCACAAGACTATGTGAATATATCAATCTAGAAAGCCTCTATGAAACCTTTTAGAACTGTGTCTGGTTCATGCTTGGTGGTGAGATAGGAGCAAGAACATAATTTCCCATGAGCGAGCTAGTGGCCAAATTTTGCTCAGCTATACAAATATGCAAGTTTACAGAACAAAGAGGAGTTGTGTGAATTTCAGAAAACCTCCTGGCCCAATATTTTTCAGATACCACTGTTGGTAGTCTTTGTGACACTGTGTGTGTGTGTGTGTGTGTGTGTGTGTGCTGAGCATCTCAGTGCTGACTATGCAGAGGAAACTTTACTACTACCTGAGCTGCTGTTCTGTTGGTGTATCGCTGTGGAGTGCACTTGCTCTGCAAAAATTTCAGGCTCAGACAGCTTTGCATTAATAATGCAATTTGATATCCCCACCAGAAACACTGTGAAAAGAATGAGATGTTTAAAACCAGTGAAAGTTTTTTTTTATTTATATAAACCAGTTAGGGAACAAAAGCAACTCAAGACTAGAGTAAACTAAGCACTGGCTTAGTTGCCAACAATTGGTGGAATATTAGGCAATTGGCAACAGAATACTAGTAACTTGCAATGTTATCATGTTAGACATGATAATATAGTGAGATGTCTTTGCCAATGTTCCTTCATTTGAGAATTTCTATTCTGAAGTCCAGGACTGTTTGTAAACTATTACTGTACAGTCTATCCAATAACCATATCTTACTTATAGCTTTGTAAAACACTTTTGGGATACACAGTGTATGAAAGTTGCTCCGTACAACTGAATTAGTGTCTAAATGGGTTTATAACAGTGTTAAAGGGAGGGACATAGGCTGGAGCATGGATATTCTAATATGTTTGGGCCCTATGCTTATTGATTGGCCAAAACTTTAGAAGCCTTTTGATCCACAACAGAGTTTAAATTGTTATTCAAGGTTGGGTCATCAAAGCCTTAGTTTTTAGCTAAACTGTGGGCACAATGTAAGGAGTGTCGTCAGTCTCAATATGGTTGACCCTTTGGTCCTGTTGACACTGTAATTCCATCCATCTTGAGGGACCATGTTACAGCATGGTAGAGTGCTGACATGGTTAGAACACAGATTTTGCAGTGCAGTTGAGTGTTTACTGTGTTTTAGACGAGTTGCCGAATTATGCTACACACGTGGGCTTTTGCAGGGCTGTATTGCAATTTGGGCAGGGCCAGCTCCAGCATTTCTGCCGCCCCAAGCAAAAAAAAAAAAAAGTCGCGATCGGCGGCGGCAATTGGAAAAAAAAAAAAAAAAAGCCGCGATCAGTGGCGGCAGTTCAGCGGCAGGTCCTTCGCTCCTAGAGGGAGTGAGGGACTTGCCGCCCCCGAATTGCCGCAGGTGCTGCCCCTCTCCCTTGGCCGCCCCAAGCACCTGCTTGTTAAGCTGGTGCCTGGAGCCGGCCCTGAATTTGGGGTCACAGTTAAAACATGACACTGTCATGTTTAACTGTCTGTGGACTACTGCATTACAACAGAATTCCCAAATTCTGTAGGAATTACTGTAGCTGGAACCTTTACAAAGAAAACCAACTAATTTTGCGTGTGTGGTTTGATACAGAATGAGCTTTCTAAAATCTACTGGAAGATCCCTGGAACAAAGGGGAAAACCAAACAGCCTGTAGTTCACTCCTCTGTGCTGAATATTCTACGTTTGATTTTCTTTTCATTTTCCCAAAAGAGCTGGATTATTGTACGATGAATAGTATCATAGTTATACATGGTTATGGTCATGGTAATCAGGTCTTATGCTGACTGCTGCTGAAATCCAGGAGGAATATTTCTTTCCTGAATGTTCAGTATTGCACAATTAAGTGGTTTCCCATCTCCATATCTTATCTATATAAATATCTATATGTATTGGAAAATAAACAAAACACCCTACAGTAATTGTCCACAAAACTATGTCTTACAATACTGTTACTCAGTGTTTGGATCATTACTTTATAATACTGCAGTATTTTTTTACAAATATATCAATATCAATATTTTGCTTTCATAAACTCTTTTGTTGCTGGGAAGGTATCAGCTGTTTGTGGGACAAAGCCTAAGATGACATTTTTGACATACCTAATAGGAATATACTATAATGAACAAAGATTTTTGTTTTTTACCTTTGCCTGTAAGGTTAAATTCAGTCTGAAAACTTTGTTTATGATCTGTTAATAAGAGACAGCTGTGGGCAGTAGAAACACTCTCATCTGGATCAGTGATGACTTTCAGGCTTTGGAGGGTGTATTTAACGTTTGGCTTGTTTGTGAAAACACCGTACATCTTCTCTGAGTAAAGAAGATTTACTTGTATGGAGCTGTGCAGACCAGAGCATTGCAAAGTGGCGACAGTATGGTTTCTCCTTAGCTCCCCTTTTGCCACTGTCTTTTCAGACTCTGGAGACAGGAAAGCAAAAATATAACTACTAGGAAGTGCTTGTCCTAAATTATTTACAGTTTCTCTTGTACAAGATTCAGGCCATCAAGATTAGTCATGAACATTGTGGTACCACACGAGCACAGAGACACATAACTGTTAATATTACAGTGAGGAAAAAAATGACCAGATTTTCAGTTTGTGTGTGTAAATAATTCCCCGGGGTTCTTTTCACCAACTAACTTTTATTCTTTTAAAACACCACAAAAATGCTTATTTAATGTAATTGCCCATTTTGTATCCAGTCTAACGTAGTTATATTTTTGTGATAACTGTGCTGCCCGTGACTGCATGCAGTATTCAAGGTATGGGTGTACCATGAATTTATCGAGTGGCATGACATTTTCTGTCTTATCTATCCCTTTCCTAATGGTTCATAACATTCTGTTAGCTTTTTTGACTGCTGCTGCACATTGAGCGGATGTTTTCAGACAACTATTCACAGTGACTCCAAGATCTCTCTCTTGAGTGGTAACAGCTTATTTAGACCCCATCATTTTGTATAGGTAGTTGGGATTGTTTTCCAAAGTACATTACTTTGCACTTATCAGCATTGAATTTCATCTGCCATATGTTGCCCAGTCACCCAGTTTTGTGAGATCCTTTTGTATCTCTTCATAGTCAGATTTGGACTTAACTATCTTGAGTAATTTTGTATCATCTATGAACTTTGCCAACTCACTATTTATTCTTTTTTCCAGATCCCAGTACAATCCTTGGGGGACTCTGCAGTTTATTTCTCTCCACTGTTTATTCCTACCCTTTGTTTCCTATCTTTTAACAAATTACTGATCCATGTGAGGACCTTCCCTTTTATCCCATGATTGCTTGCTTTGCTTAAGAGCCTTTGGTGAGAGACATTGTCAAAGGCTTTCTGGAAGTGCAAGTACACTATATCCACTGGATCTCTCTTGTCTGCATGTTTGTTGACCCCCCTCAAAGAATTCTAATAGATTGTGGAGGCATGATTTCCCTTTACAAAAGACGTGTTGACTATTCTCCAACATACCGTGTTCTTTTATGTGTCTGATAATTCTGTTCTTTACTATAGTTTCAACCAATTTGCATGGTACTGAAGTCAGGCCTGTAATTGCCAGGATCAGCTCCAGAATCTTTCTTAAAAATTGGTGTCACATTAGCTATCCACCAGTCATCTGGTACAGAGGCTGATTTAAGCAATAGTTTACATACTGTTAGTAGTTCTGCAATTTCATATTTGAGTTCCTTCAGAACTCTTGGGTGAATACCATCTGGTTCTGGTGACTTATTACTATTTAATTTATCAGTTTGTTCCAAAAGCCTCTATTAACACCTCCGTCTGGGACAGTTCCCCAGGTTTGTCACTGAGAAGACATACACCCAGTCAATATGAGGATAGTTGAAATCCCGCATATTGCATTTTCCAGCTTTGTAGCCTCTCTAATGTCCTTAAGCATTTCACAGTCACCACCACCATCCTGCTCAGGTGGTCAGTAGTATATTTCTACTGTTACACTCTTATTGTTCAAGCATGGCATTTCTGTCTATTGAGGTTCTTTGACTTGATGCTTTCTTTCACATATAGTGCCACTCCCCCTCCAGCATGACCTACTCTATGACTATATATATTGTACCCTGGTAATACCATGTCCCATTGATTAATCTCATTCCACTAAGTTTCTGGGATGCCTATTATATCAATATCCACATTTAACACCAGGGACCCAACTTAGTATTCAGACTTCTAGCATTTGTATATAAGCACTTGTAAATTTGGTCAATATTCTGCTGCTTGCCTTCATGTGTTGCATGTAAATGGGACTATTACATTTGACTGTTCCTCCTCACAAGCTCTTACCTGTACTTTACCAAATTCTTTCCTATCCTTTTGACTAGTGTAGCCCATAGCGCTGGCTTGCCTGCTTGCCTTCATTAAATTAATTGCTAAGGGATGTCTCTGCCTGAACCATGTACTCCACACCAGTTGTCTTTTCCCTACCCCTTAGTTTAAAAAAAATCCTCCACAACCTTTTTAAATTTTACATGTCAGCGATTGGGTTCTTTGTGTTTTAGATGGAGCCCATCCTTCCTGAATAAGCACCTCCTTTCCCAAAAGGTTCCCTAGTTCCTAATAAACCTGAAACCTTCCTCTCTACACTGTTGTCCCATCCACGCATTGAGACCCTGCAGTTCTGCCTGTTTTTCACCCTGTGTGAAACTGGAAGCATTTCAGAAAATGCTACTGTGGAGGTCCTGGACTTCCCTCTCTTACCTAGCAGTCTAAATTTGGACTCCAGGACCTCCCTCCTACCTTTCCCTATGCCAGTGGTACCTACCTGTACCATGACCAATGGCTGGTCTCCAGCACTGCACATAAGTCTGTCTAGATGTCTCTTGGGATCTGCAGTCTTCGCACCAGGCAGGCAATTTACCATGTGATTCTCCTGATCATAACAAACTATGTATCTATATTTCTAATAAATGAATCCCCCCTTGCTCTTACCTTGCTCTTCTGACTAACTGGAGTTTCCTCCCCTCTTCCTTTGCTTCCCTACCTTGCAGTAAGATGCTCATGCTTCTTGTGCTTTCAGACAGTACTTCTGAAGAATTTTCCACACGACAGTCATAATCTCTGAGGTCTGAGTGAAATGGACATGACAGATTACTAGATTGTAATCATGTGCACAGTTTCCTTCTTGCCTCTTTGTGGATTTTTAAAAATTTTAAATGCAACTCCCCTCTTTATTTTTCTCTGCGACTTTAATAGCGACTAGAGTTGCTCTGATTAATAAAGTCTAGATTATGACTTAAACTTGCAGTGAATTTTGGGGGCGGGGGAGAAGTGTGTGGATCTGGGGTCTTGGATCAGCATGCCGTAGAAGTGGAAGTGAGTTAAAATTTATATCCAGAGTTGAACTTTCCTCAAACTTGCTATGCGTATGTGTTCCGAGCCAAGAGTTTTGTTTGAGCTCTAACATACACACCATTCCCAAAATATTTTACAATGTTATAGATCATAAAAGTGTGAAACCAAAATACTACCCACCACTATGAGTAAATAAAATTAAAAACCAAGAGAGAACACTGATACTGTCAGGAGAGTTATTTGCTATGCTTGGTCCTAAGATTGCTTGTATTGTAGTTTAGTTACCATCACTGTTAATCTGAGGGAACTGAACTGTGCTAGAAGTGCAAATCAATAGTAATATAAAAGTTCCTTAGTGACCCCAGAACCCTTTCTAAAAGAGTAGGGGTGTGTTGCCACATTTATATTTCAGTTCTGCCCAGCCAAATTCCTGCTGTAGCTTAAATTGGGTAGAGGTGGTATTGCTTGTTTTTTTGCATAAGTCTGAGGCTGTAAGTAAGTATACAGGAAGAATTTTATTCACACAAATAGTTATCAGTTCATTGGCACAGAGGTACCATGGTGACTGGCAGCTTTGAAATACTTTAGGTGGAAGTGTCAGCCTTGAAATGGTATGTTAAACAAGAAATATCTCTTCTGCCTATTGTTAGTGACTCAGTGAGAGAAGTTGAAAGCTCTTACAGCACTATTTGAAAGCATAAGGAGATAACTAATGCATGCTCTCTCTTAAAAAGACGGGGGTGGAGGGTGTAATGGTCAAAATAATGATACTGCCGAGTGTAGAACTGCTGTTGCATATTCCCTATGTGGCCAGCCTACTTGTGAGTGTCTTTAGAAAGTTTTTGAGATGCCAGTATGGGAGGTGGTATGGCTGGCAATCCAAATTCTACTGATTTTTTTTTTCTCATTCATTTTTTTTAAAAGCTTTTAATAAGTGACATTTTCAGAGCAGTACCTAAACATTAACTAATAAACATAATTTATAAATATATGACATGTCTGTGTCCCTGGTATACTTTTTGGTTTTGTTCTGTTAGAATTCTGCAAATAGTTAAAAACAGTCCACTTACCTTTTGGGCTGAGGCTGTAGTATATAAACAGTAAACTAAACACCAATATTGTGTCCATAATGCTGACATGAATACAATATTCGTGATCATGAAATCCTTTTCACTCTTACTGCTTTCACTCATAAATCCTGTGGGGTTGCATTGGTTGGTAAAACTCCCAAATTCGTATTGTAATGGCACCGATTCCTGTTTAAAACTCACTAAGTTTCAATATTGATTATTTATAAGGAGAGTTAAAAATGAGGCTGTTTATTCATTGCCGTTTGATCTGTTTCTAGATTGGTAATTGCTCTGATCCAGTTAATAGAGGTGCAGGATTTGCTTACTGTTTGACCTGAATAAACTTTATCTATGGATATAATTTTCCCTCAGTGCATAGGGCTTGCATGAGGCCCAATGTACCACATAAGGATAAGTCCCATGTTAAGCATTTGAATGGGTGTAACTGGTAAATAAGAATTTTGCCACACCTGGGTGAATTTCACTGCCCTAAACAAGATAATTTAGCTGCCTGAGTAGACTGAGAGGAAGTCTTTCACTTGCCTGATATACGCTAGATTCTATTCTGTTCTGTTTAGGTTCTTATACTGTGCTCATCACCATAGTATCCAAGAACCTTCTAGAATTAGGAGATTAAACAAGATGACAAGTGTTGATCAACAGTTTATTGGCTCAGCAGGCATTGCAGGATTAAATGGACACTGTTGACTAAAATTGGGCCCCCAAACTGGGACAAGTGTATTTACAAGTGTAAAAATGAGCTTTTGAGTAATGTAAAGTGTAGAGTCTTTATTTAGATTTGTGAAACTACAAGAAGTGCGCGTGCTCGCGTTCTGCCCCCTCCCTGACAACTTAAAAACAGAGTAAGCAAAATGTAGGGTTGCTGCTGGTTCTCAAAGTATAGCCATAGCTAAATACACCATATAGCCTAGATAAAATAAAATAAAGATCACATCCTCCCTCCAATAAAACTTCTTTCCCCAAAAGGTCTTTTAAAAGAATGAGCGTTACAATGTGCCCTGAAGATCAGCTGAGTTGGGCCATTTTGGATCAAGGGCAGGATGAGTGCATTCCACAAGAAAAGGGCCCTCTGCAGAATGCCCTGCCAGCAGCCCCCTCTCTCTTTTATAATTGTAGGGCTATGTTCTAAGTGCTGTAGGAATCTCCCATGTGACAGTGTCGCATGGGGGAAAAGAGGCATCTCAGGAAGGCAGGTCATTTATGGTTTTTTAGGTCAATACCATAAACTCTCTCCAGAAATCCACACACAGCCAGTGCAGATTATGAAACATTAGTGCAATATGCTCACAGTAGGATTAACAACTGGGCTGCCACATTCTACACTAGCTTTAGTTTCTGGATGGATTTGAGGAGCCAAAGTGCAGTGTAGTAATCTCTAGTCTGAAGATGGCAAAGCTATGAATTGCGGTGATATAGCCTACATCAGAAGGAAAAAGTTTCACTTTCTTAGCCAAATGGAAAAAACAGTGTCTTGGTTACCATGGAAAATCGACCATCTGGCAATAACTGGGAGTCTAACCAGAATGCTAGGTTGCTACTTTCACCAGTAAACTAGGTAACCCCGGATGTGCTAACGCAGCTCAATTGTTAGAAACTGGAATTTTCTTTTTCTGACACAAGGTGGCGCTGAGATAACCTTTTCAGCTAAAACGTCTCCTTTTTCAAAGATCAAATGTCCACCTACTGTTTAATTTGATCGTAGAATGAAGGATAGTATATTTTTAATGAATCTAAGATTAATCCTTGCTTTTCAAATGACTTGTGTTCTAGATACCCAAGCTAGCTTTGTTGTAAGTATTGATAAGGTCAGAGGGGTTTTATTTTTTTTAAGATAGTGGGAAAAGCTTGCATGTACAGCAGCAACACCAATAATGAATACTTCGCTTCTATAGAGCATAGTTCATCCATAGATCTCATAGTGCTTTATAAAGGAGGCTATCATCCCCATAAGAGAGCTTTAAAGTGGTATGAGGAAGTAGGTTTCCAAAATTTGTGATTATGTTGGGAAGGAACAATTTTTAAAAAGTTTGGGCCAGATACTTCTCTGTGCTCCAGTTTCATTTATAGTTGCATTTTCACACTAGACATGTTTTTAATGGGATGATCTCAAGATAAAAATCCTATTAAAAGTTCCAAATCCCTCCCTGTGTTACTAGTAAAAACTTCAGTGGTGATTGTTTTAAATGTATTTTCAAAATCTAATTTCCATTTCACCATTCAGAACTCTACTTTTTCCTATGCCACAGTGGCTAGTGATGCTACCGTACAATGAGATGTTTATATGAAAAGAGCCCTGTGTGGGCTAAATATTACTGTACACCTCTACCCCGATATAACGCTGTCTTTGGGAGCCAAAAAAATCTTACTGTGTTATAGGTGAAACCGCATTATATAGAACTTGCTTTGATCCGCCGGAGTGCGCAGCCCCGCCCCTCCGGAGCACTGCTTTACCACGTTATATCCAAATTCGTGTTACATCGGGTCGCGTTATATCGGGGTAGAGGTGTATTACTACTGGTCAGTTTCACTTTCTTATTAGTATTGCTGTTTGCATCACAACCCAGCAAAAGAATGTTGACATAAACTTACTAGTTCTATTTTTAAAAGACAACCAGAATGCTTTTAAATAAACAAAAATCTCTTTAAGAACTTAAAAACAATAAACACACATGGATAGGCTTAAAATGACAAATACCCTGTTAAACAGAGTGATCTGATGATTATATTACTGCATAACGTTTCTCTAAACGAAAAGATAAGCTCAGTGTAAGTATTGTTTCTGAGATTTACACAACAAATTTTTGTAAACCTATTAAAACTTTCTAAATAAATAGTTATTAACAATGATAAATAACTCATTGAAAGCAAAATAATATAAAACCCTTTCCTTTTTTACTTACCTTTCCGGACCTGAATTCTGTGTTCTCTGCCAGAATTGAGGGCATCAAGAACACTTCAGATCTCTTGTGCTCCCTTGTACTGAGGTTGTTGTCGTCAGCTGCTGTGGGAGAGACTTGGAACCCTGAACTTGGATCATTGCAGGTAATAAAACTTTCAGTTTACTTTTCAAAATGTTTTTACTTGCACTTTTAAGGCTACACATTTTTTTTCTAAGTAAAAATGCAGTGATTGCTTTTTCCATGTGCATAGTAAGTACAGTGCATATATTTATAAGACAAATCAGAACAATTCTATCCTGAAGAGTGATGATAAATTCTCAGTGTGATAAACAGAGAATCAAAGAGAAAAATGGATACAAACTCTTAAGTCATTTGCATCCCTAGTTATGGTTAAGGTGAAATCATGTTTAAAAGATGGTCGCAAACGAAAACACTTGATGAATTACAGAGAAGTTTGTATGGGAACTTTGTGCTCATGCCTCTGCCTGATAATATTACAGAGGCCTATCTGATACTTTGTGGCTCTATTATAAAATGTGTTATGACTTTCCAGATTTTGAATCTTTAATAGGTTCATAACTGTCAGCTCTTCCTTACCTCTCCAGTCTAAAACAGATTGAAATGTAGGGCCCAGTCCTGCTCCCAGCTCAGTGGCAAAACTCCTCATTCTCATGGGTGCAGGATTGGGATCACAGTGGCTATTAACAATTGATAGTGTGTTCTTTCCAGCTCAATAGTATATTCGTTCTAAATCAATTACTACTGTTCTCCGAAATTGTATTTAACATTACACCGTATTCTGCTAGCTTCTGCTTCCACTGAAGACAAGGGAAGTTTGCCACTGACTACAGTGGAACCAGCAGAAGACACACAAACTATTTAACACCGGGTTTTATTTTATAAATGTATTTAAAGTTAAGTAACAGTATTTTGGGTGAGTCACTTGACTTCTATATACCTCATTTTTCCCCATCTGTAAAATGGGGTATTAAAAGTGCTAAGAGATCCATGGATAAAAAAGCCTTAGGTAAATGTTAAGTGTTATAATAATAATAATAATAATTAATAATAATTAAAATCCTGCTTCTAGGCTGAGTCTGAAGTTTGGCCAAGGCTGACATTATTATTGTTTGTCAGTAACACTTTCCCAGCCTACATTTTACTATGATCCTCATTCCATTGTTTTCTAGAGTTGCCACAGGGTCTAAATATGTGTGGCAATCACCCTTCCAGCGGCACTGAAATAGTGTTAAGTGGTTGAATGAATAAAATTGGCAGGGCAGACACAATGCAGGTTTTAGCATGACCAAAGGGCTCAGTACACCAGAAAAGATTTACCAACCGCCTGTTGTAATCTTGTTAGTTTTTTTCTTCAATTTAGGCAAATTTGGAAATATACCTGGTCTGTTAAGCAATTTAACAACTTTTTTGTCTACTATCTCTAAGGTCCCTGGGGCCCCTTCTATGACTAAAGCAACTTGAGTCATTCAAGTTTTGTATGTAATTAGAAATAGCAATTTAGGACACAGTCATGTGGGGTGCTGAGTGCACTTAACTTTTACTTGCTTCAGTGTGAATTGGGAGTGCTCAGTATCTCAGAGGATTAAGCTGTTACACACTAACCTTTCTCAATTTGTCAGATACATTTTTTACAACAAATATTTTGACCAGTTCCAGATAGGCATTTTCCAGATCTGAACTCTTGGGAGTGGGACCAATACTCAAAATTACAGATGAAGCTAAGAGTCCAAGAGAATGAGAAGCTTTAAATTACACAGGCTTATTACTTAAAAAGTGTCAGTTTCAGTTTAATAAATTGACATTGCTGATATAATATATCATAATAAAAGTGAAGAACCATACAGCTTTGCAAAATTACTATCAATCTGAAAGTAAAATGAGATGTTTGAGAGGGATGAGTATGGGTCATTTTCCACAGTTGCTAGTGTGGCTGTGACAGTAATTTGGAATATCTTTCAAGTTATGTGATAGTGTCTAGAGAGCAGTGAGTAGACAACAGCCCAAACTGGGACTAAATAAAACAACCCTGGAAATATTATTTATATAGAAGTGCCGAGAACCCACAGCTCCCACTGTCTTCAAAAGGAGTTATGGGTGTTCAACACTTTTGAAATCA